ATTTGTTATACTATCTTCGTTAGGAATATTGCTTCCTCAAATGCGATTAGTGAAATAGTTGCAACTACAACACAGGCTGATCATCAGCACCACGGACAGCGCTAGTGCCCGCTGAGAAAAGCACTGCAGAAAAGAGGAAGTGAAGAATCCGGTTTCTCATTTCGCTGCTGGGTTGAATCATCATAATATTGTAGTAGGCGGGGTTAAGTTCCCAGACTAGACATGCTACATCTTATATTACGAGGTGGCAGCATGGTGGTGGCACCTATCTGCATTCAGTAAGAGCAAGTAAGGGTAACTTTCTTGTCACAATGACAAGTTGTGTAGAGGCTTGCTGATACATCTGCAGGTCAAAGAATCTGTTATACTTAGCCATTGGTTGTTTTCTGATGTACAGCTGCAGAATCTAGAGAATGTTAACAGGGATGAATGTCTTTCAGTAGAGTTAACTTATGCAATCCACTTAAATAAATAGGTGTTTTAGGCCAGTATATATTGTAAAGTATCACCTTATAACAGCCTAGTTCTATGGGTTTAATATTACTGTGATAGATGTGTGTGTGTGCCTAAATAGACATTTATTACTTGGCCTGTGCTGATTTTTATATGGGAGTATCAATATTAGTGCAGCCTAGATCAGGATGCACCTTCATTTGGATAAATAATCACACTTAATGCATAGCAGGAATTGCATTCCAAGACAGCAGGTGGGACCAGGAGTGAAACAAACATTGATTTAATTTAAGGGTAAACTTTAATTGGGATTAAATTAATTTAATACAGCTAATATTATTGCTTCCCCAATGTCACAGTAAAAAGTATAATTTTGTGGCAAGTTTTCAAAGGGATTTTCGGAGGTGTTCACCCTGAATCTAGTTTTTGTTCTGGGTGGAATGGCCTGGATACTGGGGGAATTATTGCTATGCAGTAGTCATGCTTAGATTACCATCTGATGAAGCTTCATCTCACAGTTTCATTTCCCTCACTCCAGATGAGGATCTATTAAAATGACCTGACTTCAGAGATTTATGAAATCTAATGGATTCTTGAATTTCTAGTGTATTTTCCTGAAGCCAGAATCAGTTATTCTGTTAATGCTCATGCTGATATGTGGACTGAGAAAACAGAAGGGCCTTTCAAAGCTTAACTCAGTTCAGTGAACTGCAAACAAGCTGGTTGTAAATCACAGAGATATTAATGGTTGTAAATTGCACATCATACTGAAAATTGAGATCAAGAATAGCAGGGAGCCAAGCAGTAGTAATGTTTCTAATTCAGGATAAGAATTAAAGTTCCAGCAGGCAGTCCAAAAAATGTCAGGTTCAAGGGTAGCAGATGTCACATTTCATCTGAGAGTCAAGAAATAGAAGAAGCAGGCACCAGCAAAAGGCAACAAAATAAGAACAATTTTAGAAATGGATCCACTGGCATAAATACCCAAGTAACCTTCTCATCCCACCCAGGGACATCTCAGGATAGCCCTGATTAATTAAGGTTGGATTCTGCAAAGCTTTAGCTTCAGTTCCAGGTTTCAATATTTTAAATTTTGACCCAGAGCTGATCTTGTTCCCAAAGGCTAGATGGTCTTGACTTTTCTACAACTGGATCAGGGATGGAAAGGCCTGGATTGACTCTCTCATGGTTTATTAAGTAGGATCCTCAGTTTCTAAGATGACAGATTCATTTGCTTAGGATATTATATATGCAGCTGGGCCCTTACAGGGCCATTGAGACAATCACTAAATGTCCTCTTCAGCAATGTGGAATCTAAAATTCCCCCTGGTTTTCTGGGGATGGAGATAAAGCTGGCCAAGAGATAGCTAGAATATGTATGATACAAAACTTATCTTAACTGATTGAGCATGGCTTAGTACAGTATATACAGTTATAACTGCTACATGGCAACAAAGGCTGCAAAAAAGGCTTACTTTGTATCCTCCATTGCCTTCTTAAGTAGCCAGCCAGCATAATTCCTTAGAGCGGTCACTTTCTTATTGTCATCTGCTCTGGAAGACCCAGAGGAGCTTTCAGAGACTTGCTGTGACAGATTTGTGAGACATTTTGAGGATAGAATAATTTATTTTCATACTATTTGAACACTGCTTCTGATACAGATTGTACTGAGGTATCCCGTGTGTGTCATCTGGGATAAATGAGTGGGATTGTTTTCAGTTTTTAGAGGATATGGACAAGATGCTTGTAATGTATATCCTACTCTCTGGATGGATACAGAGAATGGTGGATGTATTATCTAATGGAATAGTTCCACCAGTTCTGAAGGAGTCAGTGAACTCTCCATTCCTGAAGAGGCTCTCCCTATGTTCAGACAATTTTGCCCTATTAGAACTCCCCCCCCCTCCTTTTTTGGGAAATATGTTTGAGAGGGTAATATTTTGAACTCAATACCTAAGTGTTGATAAAAACAGTTAAAAACATTAAATAGCTTTATTAAAATAAAATGAATTATCTTCCCTATTGGTTTTCATGCACAGTTGTTCCTACAGCAGAGATTTCTCTCAGAATATAGTAGATTTATTCAGAAGTAGAGCTTTCATGGAGCATCAATGACCTCGAAAGTCTCTCCTGTTGTTGGTCAGTTTAATTCTTCCTGAGACTCATCCAGCAAAGACCACAAATTCTTCAGCTTACAGACACAATTATCCTAGAAAACTCAGCATTCCTGTTAACTTCTTGGAAACCTAGAAGTTTATTTTATTTTATTTATATATCACATTTATGTAGCTGCCCATATCCCACAAAGTGACCTG